GAGAGCGCAGCGCAAGCGATTCCCCGCCGTGAAACAAAAAACACCAATCCCTCCTATCTCCAAGCTTCACTCCAAGAAGGGAAAATTCTTGGGAACGCCTCGCCATTGCCACGAGTTGCTGTTGGCCACGAGCAATGCAAGAAAGCGGAGGACCCAATTGCTTTTACTTTTTATGTGTGAGGGTGTTTTGTCCTATTTTACTAGGATGTTTTTGTAGATTTAATTGGCTTATACGGGACTTGTTATGCCGACATACAAATCGTACCGCAAATTCTCACAAATTCGTTTTAGGGAGAACCATATATTGTTTTTAGAGGACGCGGTTTTGGCGAATCTGCTAGAGATGCTCTAAGTTATTTCCCACTGTGACCATATAACTACCCGATCCATTGTTTCTTAGAGGATGTATTTGAATTTAATGATTTGAGGCTCATGCTACATGTGATTGCGCAAGCACAGTTTGTGGCCTATGGCCTCGTCTAATGCAAAGGTGCTAAGTGCATTAAATAGCTTAACAACTCAAGTCCCAATGTATAGGTGCTTAACTTGTTGTAACTAAACTTAATTTTCATTTAATGATTAGCGCCTAAACTCTTTCGTTCATTGGTGTGAGCTTCTTTCATTTAAGTGTTTTGGCTAGATTGATGTGCTTGGCATTGGTTTTTCCCGGGACCAAAATGCTCCATCTCTCCTTCTTAATTGTTGTGTCATGTCATTTTTATGTGGCATGATTAGCACATGTACATCATGAAGCACTGGTAAGTGTCCCTCTCTCTTATTAATTATTACTTCCTCTGTTTCATAATATAAGAGCGTTTTGGACACCAACACGAAGAAGTGAGTGTAACACATCAGCAAAACATATATGAAACCGTGCTGAGAAATCTGCATACAAAATTCCCTCGATGAAGTGAGCCTTTCCATTAGTGCTTACAAAACTCCCTAATAATCTCACCGTAGCCCTCGGTCCCGCCTTACATTGTCACGGGAATGCCAAGTCACCCGGCCCAGCTGGGCCGGCCCAAGAGAGGGCGTCGGCCCAACCCACGAGTCCAGGGAGAGGACTGGGTCCAGTGAGTGTGTACTTTAGAGGGTTGCGTGTGGAGGGATTCGGCATCGTTGGATCACTACTCTGTATCGGCGCCGTTGGGCGAGCTCTCCCCTCCCACCTCCTGGCTCTCCTCTCGATC